CAAGTAGAAATTGTATAGTCTCTTTTAAAGTCACACCATAAAATACGACAGACAGCTTTAACAACGTGGGTGTACAATTGCAAGTGATCGGCGAGTGGGCGGTAACTGCTCAGCGGGTATTAGCTGATGCCAATCTTTGATGGAGGCAATTTACTTTCTTTCATTTATCACTTATATATGTTAAAACACATTATTTGTGCGAAAATAATGTATTAGAATTATGGGAATATATGTATAAGGTATTAAAGCAATATTAAAATAGAAACACAGATTACATAGCGCCCGATATTAAAATAAATTCCAGTGCTTATGAAGTTGGCGAACAGGCGTTTACCAGCAGTAATATACACAAAATTAACTGAACCGACGCTGACAAAGAACGACGCAGTAGCTACGTCTTAATCGACGTTGTCAGTAGGCGAAAGCAAAATGAGAACTGGAATCAGAAGCTCCAATTCTGATATGAAGCTGCTCCAAACGCAGAGACTGCCGCGAGAGCGTCTACGCACACATTTCCACAAAGGCTTGTACGAAGAAGAGCGATAAGAGGCGATTGTGCGCTGTAACGTTGTGTTTTGGTGGTTAAAAGTTGCCTTGTCTGATGGGGGCCGCAAATCATCAGCCCCATGGTATGGTTTTGGAGGATTGTATAAAAACAAAAATACCGACAAATCTTATTTCAAAATACACATCGAAAAGTAAATAGAAAGCAATCAAAAGTGAGAAGAAAATGTTTCCGAACACTTCCTAAATTGAGGTTACCAGACTACGCTTTAGAGAAGGCTTATAGACTAATGCTTAAACTAGTGGGTAACGTAAGCCGCTGGTACGTAAACTCGAGTCAGCTTACCCCCGAATGTCTGATGAGGAAATTGCAGCATTATTGCATCAGCACTGACCGTCAGGTGACCGGTCATGTGCCAGTAAGATTTCTTGTTGGGCAAATACATCGGCGACCAAAATCAAAATTTTTCGATTTTACACAGACTGTCTGTGCAGACATAAACGACGAAATGACATGGTCTGCGCATCGCGGTGTATGTACTGTGTAGTGCATTTTGCTCATTATCAGAAGGCGATGTAAATGTAAACTCAGCAATCCAGAATTTTTCTGGAGTTGTAGTCCGTAACTTAGATATTCTCACACGGTACAGTATTACGATTGATTTATGTCAAGACGCTAAAAGTTAATCCATTTAGACTTATGTACAGTTTACGAAAGTTCAATACGGCAACTTTTCAATTATTGAGGTGAAATAAAAGAAGGTAAGGTCTTTGGATTTACCTTCTTTGGAATATCATGCAAGTCTTATTGCCAGCTGCTATCATGTCTAACCGCAATATAAAATCTTTATAAATTTTACATCTGGCATCTTGACTTGGATCAAATACAGTGTTGTGTAAGACAAAGAACGTAAATGTACATTTACGTTCTTTGTGTAAGATCAAATATTCTTAAAAAAAAATTAATTAATTACAAAATGTTACATACATTATGTGATACTAGATTAAAGTTATATGATATTTGAAAATCCAACATGAAATTGATGTTTATAAATCTTTAGATTCAATGTTAATTAACTCTAACTTCCGATCATTGTCCAACACTTTTGTGGTCGCCTAAAAACGGACTATTGTTTTCTACGAATGTAAAAGGTTGTACAAATCAGGGTTATTTTAAAGGAAACACTGTGCCGCATATACAAATTTATACAATTCGGTGCTAATATTTTTATAAACGAAAACTAAAACAGTGAAGAGGACATATACATATAAAAAGCCGCATACAAAATTCACACAATAATAAAAAGTGATTCGTCAAGGCCACTCGTTCGAACGAATTGTATACCCGCTAATTGAATTAAGCCAAGCATTACTTCAGATTTTCATACACTGCCGTTTCCGGAATAAAATTGACAAAAAGAAAATGGAGCCACAACTTCTACAGCAACTCATCAACGCAGCTGAGAAAGCAGCCAATATTGCGCGTGTCTGCCGTTCCAATGAAGCTCTGCTTAAGTTGTTGGTGCAGGAAAAAACTGGACCGGATGCGAATGCCCGCTTTGAACACGATTTTAAAACCCTCGCTGATGTGCTAATTCAAGAAACTATCAAACACGATATTTGTGAGTTGGTAAGTAACAGCTAATGGTGTGTTAATAAAGATATTTAATATATCCTTCCCCTGTTTCTAACCTAGTTTCCTGCCATGCGGGAAGGCATTAAAGGTGAAGAGTCGCCAAACTTCACCAATGTAGAGGGGGAGTCAGTGACTATTGTAGTGTGCGAAACGGCAGAGGAAACAGCACAGTGTCTGGCTGCGATACTAAATGGTAAGTATTTGCATTTTTCAAATTTGTCTTTCGTAAGTACATATGTATATACTAATGCAAGTTTTTTACGTTGCAGCTGAAGCAGCGGAAATACTTGCTAGTGAAGTACATCGCGATGTTGCATACGAAGAAGAGGTTCTTGGCGAAATACCAGCACTGCCAGCAGACC